CATCGGATAGCTGTGAACTGCAGAGATTATAGTCCCGATCCGGATGCAGCTTCTGCTGAAGGGGGCTAGGGGGCATGGAGGGAGAGGTCTTACTGGGGAGGGCAGGGGTTAAAGGTGTTTTGAACTTCTTTTTAGCCTTTTCCTAATGACATCTTCCTCCGTGGGAGTGCATTGCCACCTTCCCCACACTTGCTTTCACTCCTCCGGGCACTTTCTAGTTCTGAGTCGTCAGCTGGGAGGCTTAGGTTTACCTCACTCGTGTTGCTGTGGGTAAGGGGGAGAGAGGGGGCGTATTACATAATTAATCCTTCCAACTTCACTTTCCGCAGCTCCATCGCCAGCCCACTGTTCTCACGTTTCTGTTTTGTTTTTATACGGAGGAGGTGAGAAAATAATGCTGTTGTGTGGGTGTGTGTTGCTCAAAGGATTTCAAGGACCAGAACAGGATTGCTGCTCTCTGAACAGTTTAAAATAATTTCCTCTGAGGGTGCTGGTGGAGACCTGAAGAAGAGGTTTGAAAGATTACATTCAACACGTATTTTAAGCACATAGCCAGCTCAGATGCTCCATCAGTAAGAGATTATGATAGGTCTGGGGTTTTGAATTTTTGTCCTCTGCAGCCTATTTTAATGTCTTTTAATTACAATTTATCCTCGGCTGACCTCTGGAATACTGGCATACCATGAAGTACTGCCAAAACAACAGGAGGTCGATGGGCACACAGGAGGCTGCAATATTCCTGGGGGTGGGGGAATAGAGATAGAGAATGTTAATTAAAGAGTGGATAGCAAATTTATTCTCCTACACCACAGGGATGAGGAGATAGGGCCAAGAAAATTATATAAGCAAATTTCTTCCTTTTACTTGACCCTCATAAAGAGGGTTCAGGCACAGATCAGTAGATATGCAATAGATTTCACGGATTCATAATAAATCACATAGAAGTAAGCAACCCAGGGAAGCAGAAGGTGCGTGGTATGCTGAAATGTCAAGTGACAATGAGAGTATGCCATGTAGGGCACAATGGTACCGTATGAAAAGTTTTCAGAATGTTTGGGTGTGTTACAGACACACGTGCCATAAAGTTTGAGACTGGACCTCTGTGAGATACTTTGCAGAGCCATTTGATCATTCAGTTTTTCAAAAGCCTTGGTTTTCCTGCTACTCCTTTCAGCTCACATTTATTCTAACACCTCCAGTTCTTTCATTAGCTCCACACCACTGCTAATTTTTTTCAATAACCACACCTCCTTTGTTTATAAAGTAGAATTTTATTTCACACCTAGGCATGAAGCTCAAATGATGAGACAAGTGGAAGCAGGCTATTCCCCTTTTCTTTGGGACATTCATAGAGTTCTTGAAGGTCTTAAAAACCTTCAGACATGAAAAATCTAATAACCATTGCTCATAGAAGCTATTTTGGAGTGTTCCAAAGCTACCCTCAGAGTATTGGGTTATGGAACTCTTTATCTTTAAGTACTTTGATTTCTTGGTGGAGGGATAAGGGAAAAAGTAATCTGCAGTTAACAATATAATCTCTCTGCAATCTTTGTCATGTTTTTCTTTGCTATGTCATGAATATCTGGTGGTTAGTAAGTGCATGAAGTTTTAGTCAGCATGCATTTGACTAACCTGTATAGTTTTAGTGTGCCTTTTCTCTGTGATGCACACAGCTAAACTTAGCCTAATTAAATCTTTTAGAATAAACCAGTCTTCTACATAGAGAAAAAGAATTGGATTTTTTCAGAACTACTCCAGGACATATTTTCCAGTTTTCTCTGGCAGCTGGGTCTGTATTTCTGGTACAGCTCAATCACTCTTTAGTCAGCTAAATGAGGCATCAGATTTTCAAAAGCACTCAGCAACTGGCAGGCAGAGATTTAATATATCCTTCCTTCTTCTGATTCAGATACTGCATGACTTGCCCTAGCACCTATTCTTGTCCTCCTCCACCTCTTTGTCAACACAGATGATGCTTGACTGCTCATCATCGAATGTGGTGCTGATGCTTTACAGATAGCAGGAAAACCTTCCAGTCGCATGGTTTCCATCAAAATGATGAATGTTTTGGTCCTGAACTCCTTTGGAAACCTCCCAGATGGTTGGTGTCCTCACTCCTCCTTTTATGTTCTGTATGTGATGAGGAAACTGCTTTGAAAACACACATCATTTGCTTTAATCTGTTTTATTCCAAAGGCAAAAATTATTTGTCCTTCAGGACTCTCTTTAATCATTCACGGGTAAAAGTTATTCCTTGCAAGAATCAATTAGTAATATCAGTTAAGAGGCTGAAAGCAGCATATTTACACATACAGATGTCTGTGTGCACACAGATTCTTGGCCAGTCCTTCAGTTTGCATGTGGGCCTCAGTACAAGTTCCTGTTGCTACTGAAATTTACAGGAACACTGAATTTAAGGAATATGAGATTTCATTCTGTTTAGGGAACAAATTCTGCCTTCAGACATGTGAATGCAAATCCTGCTGACATCTGTGGTTACCTAAGGGTTATAGCTGGCCATTGGAGCTGATCTTGGGAACATATTTCTGATCTCCTGTTTTGTTAGATCTCAAGAAAAAGATTGCTGTCATGAAGAAAATGCCATGGTAGTAAAAGTGCATTTGTAACTAAGCCAGGAGATGTCAAAAGCATCTTCTGAATAAAGTATATAACGTGAATATAATATGATATGGATATAAGTACATGTGAAGGTCACAAAGTATTACAAGTAGAGTGGGGTGGTGCTGAAGAGAAAACGGAAAGGGAAACATTTGTTACTTCAGATTTCCAATAATAGCAACTGTGGTTGAGACTGCTTTGCTACTTGCTGAGTGTGTGGATAATACTGTGCTGGCCCTCAGAATATTCAGACTTATTGCCAGCTTTGTCATTAGCTTGGATGGAATCCAAATGTCTGCATTTGAGGTGCGATGATCCTGTGCATCGATACAGGCTGAGAAATTGTGTGGCAGTCCTGATGGAAAGCATCTGAGGGTGGGGGGGTGGAGCTAGGTTGTATATGACTCATGCTTTCTCACTGCATAAAAGGCAAACTGTGCAATTATCTACATTAAATGGAAAGTGGCCAGTAGAGCAAAGGAAGCATGTTTCTCTCTCTATTTGACACTGGTGAGACTGCATCTTTGATTCTGTGTCCCGTGCTGGGACCCCTGGTTCAAGAGGGAGGTGGTTGCATTGGAAATGGTTCAGTGAAAGACTACTATGATGGTCTCTAAGGGCACTAACCTCTGAGGAGAGCAGGGCTTGCTTGGTTTGGGTAGAAGAGGTAAAGGGGCACTCGGTAGTGCCTTATGACTAGCTTTAAGAATTGTAACTAAGAGGTAACCTCTTGGTACAGTCAGATGATACAAAAAAGGGCAACAGCTGGCTTGGGAAGTTCAGATGTAATATTAGCAAAAGAAGTGTCCCTCCACATAAAAAAGCCTAACCTTTCTTTGAGCTTTATACAGCAAGCAAAGCGCTTATTTTTTATTTTTCAATTGCACATCTCTGCCTGAAGATAATACCAGTGAAATATGGGATCTGCAAAAGATAAAGCTAAGGACATACAGGAACAAGAGGACGTATTTTTCCTCTGATAAAAACTTTCTCCCCAAAATAATTTTTGGAGGAAGAACATGGAATGAAGTTGCTGCTGTGATGTTTCCGATTTAAGTAGGTAAGAATTACCATCAACAATTTGGCAGCATTTCAAGTAGGAGGCAATAGCAGTACTCCACTTGAACAATGGACAGGAAATAAGAGGAGAGGAGGAGAAGCTATGAATAAGGAAGAAGGCCAGGTGGAGGACTGGCAGAAGAGAACTGGGAGGGAAAGTGCAAAGATGTGTAACATTCTGTATAGGGAAGCACAGGGTAGCCATGGTAGGCAAAGAAAAGCAGCAATGAAAAGACTGAAGACAAGAGAAGGTAAGGTAGAATAGCACTTTGTCTCACAGATAATCTTCATATAGCCTGGATCAATGTTAAACTGTTACATTTATTACACTGGAACGTTCTGTCATCTAAAACAGAGTCCTTCTATTGGATCTTCTGGACCTTTCTGCCACCCCCATTTCTGCAGTTTTGGACATCTCATCCCCAATCACTTATTCACAGGCCATAAGGAATATTGAACCAGGAAACTTCACCTTTATTAGCAGCTTACATCTTGATGAAAGGAAGAGGATGGGGCTTAATCAGCCTGGGAAAGACTTCTCCCCTTCTGTATGACCTCAGACTTCAGTAGAAAGACTGGGCTTCAGGTGTCTTTCTTCCTTATTGTTTGTTTAGAAAAGCGGGGAAGGGCTTTACACAGAGACTGGAAGAGCCCATTGGGCTATAAATCCACTTCCTAGTTGGATGAGAAAATACTTAGCAAAACTGTACTCCTGCTCCAAAGTCCTCACAGAACTTTTTTTGTTATCTGATGAAAGGAAGATATGGGGCAGGATCCCTTTG